GCACTTTTGAGATAGTCAGGCCATTTATACAAATCAGTAAAAAATATTTGTGCATGAAACCTTTCTTAAATAAGAGCTTTCATGTGTTACAGGTTGAACATTACAGTGATAGTTTTGGGAATATTAAAAAAGTAGACTTCTATTTAAAAGGTGATAGGGAAATTTATTAGGTGATGAGAAAATATGAGTGTTTCCCTATGATTTCTGTGATAAACCTGATCGTGCTATTGTTGAATGGAGAGGAGGTTTTTTTGCTGTTCTCTTCAGCAAGACGCTAATATTGTGCGAAATGGGATGAAATACAGAATGCTACATTTTAGTGAGATAGTGTGATGCCAGGGATATTTATCTGTGTAGTATTTGTTCCATAAAATGACTTAAAGCTCCCCCCCCCGCCCCCCCCCCGCCCTTCAATAATGTAGGTTTTTTCCCTCTGTAGTCCAGAACATGCCTTGTTTTTACATTTGGGTGTTTGTCACTTCTGAGTTGTTTAGGGCACCCATTAATCAGACATTTTTTCTGTCACTATGAAAGTAGAGAATATCACAAGTTTGATTAGTTAACTGTGATAGTTCTGTACCTAGACTCTTCTTATTTGCTGTCAGTAGCTGTTACTACAAAAATGTACTTCTAAAAGACATCGTAATCTTTATAATTGTAAAAGAAATGTTGCGAGCTCCATGAATATCTAAGTTTCACAGTGAAGCTAGGTTGACTGATGTGTTTAAAGGTCTGTCTTAGTTGTCAAGGTATAGAAGCGTAATTTATAGATAGTCCGTTACGTACATGAAGTTTTAGATGGTTTATTTGCTGACTCTAACTGCATAGAGTTCTGACACATAAACCATCTGTTCTGAATTGCTTTTCTTGAAAGCATTTCTATATTCAGTCATTACGATCTACCTAAATCAGAAGACATAAAATATTTAGAACCAGATTTTTTCACGTGTTGTTAGTACTAGGGAGCAGCAGTGACCCAGGGGAAAACTAGAGTTTTCTGCATGCCTGCCAGGCACTACAATGGTTTCCCAACAGCCCCTTATGAGAAAGGCAGTGTAGGTTCTCCTGGCTACTTCCTCCCTTCTAGCTGCTTTTGTACTGCTGAGGGTATCTGTGCCAAGGACCAGCTCCTGGTCTCCAGGACCAGTGCTGCGGGCTTGCTCAAACACTGCAGGCTCAGGGCCAAGTAGAGCAGATTGGTTGTGCCCGTGCTGGGCCAAAGTCTCCTCTGATTGCCAGATGGCAGCCACCAGCCATATAGCACAATATTTCTTTTTTTTAATGGGTTTTTTCCCTAGTTCAAATTTCCTGAAGTAAGATGAAGGTTTTATCACAGACTTCCAGAACAGTGTTTAATACCCTTAGCATGACGTGAAAGAATATAATAGGCTGGTTATCAGGGGATGTGGCAGGACAAAGTAGTTTAAAGGCTCAGAATCAGTTGGGCTGAAATCAGAGAACTGAGTGGAAGGAGACAAACCTGGTATGATTTCACTTGTAATGCCCTTCTGAGCTGTTCCTGGGGTTATAAACAGTTTTTGTCTTGGAGAAGACTCGCTAGTTTTCTAGCGAAGTTTTCTGAGAGCAAAGTAGCATATAGGCACTGTGGAAAATCCAGAGATGAGAGCTGAGGAGGGAACTAGGAGATGACATGATTTGACACCGCAGGTCTGCTTTCAAATGAAAAATAACTGTAGCTTTATCTCCTTTCCATGCTCTCTGAAGTAGCTTATGCAGAAGTCTGCAAGTGCCAGGAATACTGGAGCTGGCTTCTGTCATCTTGTTCTTGTCACAGTGCTGCTAATCCATTATAAGGTCATCCAGGATTTGTGATTTAAATTGGACGTAGTCATTCAAAAATTCTAAAGAGTATAGTTTTGTCACATACAATTTGTTTGGTCTCCTTAACCTGTTAACTCGGTTGGTTCAACATCTATGTATCACTTCAGACGTTCTGGTCCAAGCAGAAATATCATGGGAGAAGGATTTCATTTTGTTGGATTTTAATGGTGTTAAATTTATAGCTGCTGGTAATTTGGTTCTATGAGAATATGATCAAGTATGCTGTATGTACAGTGGATGTTTTATGTAATCGTATTAAGGTACAGTGTTGTGAAATGGCACCTCTTTGAATCTACCGACAAGTTAGAGTTGATTATAAACTAGCTATGTATTTCTGAAGGGATTGTTTCCACTGAAATACTAAAAAACAGAATAGTTGCTGTCAGGACCTGAGGGAACCAAAATACCTTAATAGTTGTGACCAGCCTCACCTGGGACCTCAACCTGCACTCCCTGCCCATGGCCCAGGCGCTCCCTTTGACCTCAGCCCCACTTCTTGCCTGAGCCACGTTGTGGACGGACCATCTCCAGCCTCGCTTTCTGCTCGGTTGGGCTTTGCGGCTGGAGCCTCAGCCTCTGCTGTAGCTTTGCATCCAGCCTTGTCTCCTGCTGTTTCTGACCTGTCTTCCTGGACAGACACTAGATTTGACTTGTCACCTTGTCTTGTCACAGGGCAGTCAGCTAAAGCTGTTATGTCACAGGCGCTGTCCTCCTCGGGTGCTGTGGGACGGCACTGTTGCCGGTGAGGGCTGCCACCTCTTGTTTTGGGGTCACTCTTGGCTCCTGGCTTATCTTCCCTCATGGAGCAGCCCAACTCTTGCTGCTCCCTGCCTGTTTTCCATCTTGCTTCATGCTGCCGTTTAGTAGAAAATCATGAAACAAAAGGCTTGTTTTAACAGCTTTTCTCTGAATGCAGACTGGACTAGTTGACCTTCCTCCAGCAGGCTGCCAGAGAATTTTGTGTGACTCCTTTCAACAGAAGTGGGTGCTCTTTTAAGACTATTAGACTTGTCCAATTAAAATCTTTTGAGAAAGGATGGGGGGGCGGGGGCACAGAAGGACAAATGCTGCATCACTTCTTCCTGAAGGCTGTAAGTCACAAGGGGAAATTCAATGTGTGAAGCAGTCTGTAGAGTATAACGAGAATTTGCCTCAGGGTACAGATACTCATTGTTTCTTTGAAGAAATTAGTGTGGTGTGAAATGGGTGCTGGTCTAGAAATGTGTCTAGTGCTAATAGCTTTTTATTTAAAAAAAAAAAAAAAAAGAAAAAAAAAGAGGAAAAAAAAAAGAGAAAAAAAAAAAAGCCCTGGTCTGTGAGGAACGGAGCATTTAGCTCTTCTTCCCTTGCTCTTTTCTCTCGCTCTTTTCTTTTTTTCCTCCAGAAGAATGGAGAGAGATTTAAAATAATGGTTAACAACTTCCTTGTGCTCTGATCTGTTCCATATCTAGAGCCCCTTGGAAGAATTTGGGTTTCATTGTTTTTTACTTTTACTGGATCTATTGAATAGTCATGTATCCTTCCCTACTTTCTTCCTTCTTTCCCTCCCTAATTCCAGGATGGTCCAGGAGGTGATGATGTGTCTATGACACAAGGTTTACTTGGATTTTTCTTTAAAATACCATGTAAAACTGGTCAGTGTTTTCTGAGAATGCCATGTAGAAAAGTATTAGTATCTCCTTTGAAATATTTTGAAACATAAGCATCATTTTTATAAAACAAGGAAATAAATGTAAAAAGTGCAATTGGAATAAGAAATATGGGGGAACGAGAGCTAGATGGTGATCTGAGGAGCAGGTGTAAGCATTTATAAAGTGTGTATACGTCTAAAGCTCTCATTGACATATTGATAGAATAAGTAGAATGGTTTATCCCTGTAGCCATTCTATGTGCAGTTTATTTGGTTTATCAGGTATATAGAGGTGAGTAGTTCTGTGCATGTAGATGTATTCTGCAATTACATTGCTGCTATCATATGTCTAATATAAAATCATATATAAATTCTTTCTAAACTGTCTTTAAATACTGACGTTAGTATGCTACCAGCAGCTGTTGTAAGGGGAAGCCTACTCCTGTGTCTCTTATTCCCTCTCCACATTTCCAAAAATTATTTTGGACTGTTAAAAATGGAATTTTGGACATAGATCTAAGAACTAGTAGAGACACCATTTTCAGTTTTCTACCTCTTAGCTCACTTGCCATTGAATAACTACTGACTCCAGAACAGAAGCAAATATTTCATAAATCAGCATAATAGAAAAGCAGCACATTCGGATCGACATGGGGTCTGAATTCCTCCGTGGTTTAGAGATTTCTAAAGTTACGTAGTAACAATATTTCATTCTTTCTTCATTTTGCCATGGATGATGGCTAGTTTTCCTTTGAGGAAAAGAAACCTTAAATGAGAACTAAATGCTAAAGTATTCTTTGTATGTGTCTCAGTAAATGTACCAATACAAGCAAAAAGCTTTCTGTCGTAATTACTCTGTTTGGTTCAGATATTGATATGCTATATCTGTAGCAGCTCCTCTGATATTGAAAACATGTAAATGGAGCTACTGGGGTACAATGAGACCTGGCTCTGTGTTAAACCTTGGTCTTGTAGCTACTGGATTACATTTCTGTGTTGTGCATAGGGGGCTTACGTATGTTGTTAAATGGGAGACGGTGTTTCTGAAGTGTTTACACTCTCTAATCCTCAAGACCTATTGCTTTACACTATGATTCCCTCCTAACGTAGATCTGAAATTAATTCACCCTTAATTTTGCAGAAGTTCAGTTCCTAGTTTAAAGTCTGTCTTTATAAATTTTTTCTTTTCTTTTTCTTTTTTTTTTTTTAATTCAGTGAACTGGACCAAACACTAAATCCCAAAACTGTAGTTGCTAATATTGCTAAAAAGTTGCTGATACTGATTCAGCTCTGAACTTCACATTGTGTAGCCAATTATGATGCTTTTGAGAAAACTTTGTGGTTAACAACTTTGTGCCATTAAATTCACTTTTCATTCTTCTTTGTTTGGAATTCTTTAATGGACAAGGAAATATGCTGGTGGCTCTGTAGTCATCCATCTATGCAAAATTTGCATACTAATTTCAGAATACTTAAGTACTATGCTCGCAGGTATCATTTATCTAAATAGATAACTTCTGTTTTTCAGACCTTACCAGTACGGAAGATTCCATGCAAAGCCAATGCTCCTTCAGGGTCTTTTTTTGCACGAGACAACACAGCAAATTTCTTATCCTGGTGCAGAGATGTAGGGGTGGATGATACCTGCCTGTTTGAGTCAGAAGGTTTGGGTATGTATTTGTTTATATAGTAGTTGGTAATTCTAAATAACTTCTGCTTTTGTGTTTAGTGTTGAAAGACAGAATGGCTCTCTTAATAGATCCTGACTCCAAATCTGACCTGTGTCTGACTGTGTTAGTTCTGCCCCTCATCTGAAGCATGAACAAATAAAGTACACATCACTTAAAAATCATTTAAGTCAATTTTAAGAGGAGCCTAAATGAGACAAAAATCTTGCTATAATTTCTTGCACACAGATGATTTTTCACCCTACACACACTTTGATCATGGAATGCTGTTCCTTAGTTCAATGAATAAGGTAGTCCTGTTCTGTTTAGGGAGAGTAGGATACAAATGCATTCTCAGTTTTGGCTGCAGACGTTTAGCTATTCGTGCAGATTCAATGGATTGCTCAGGAGGCAAGAAAATACGAAATTCTTCTCTGCATCCTACACTGACATTTTTTCCAGCTGATTCCCGTGTACAGGTCTGGACAAAAATTATCCAACACTATTGCTTCAGGGTGTTCCATCAAAAGAATTGGACTGCTTAGGAAATCACTGTTCTAATAGTACATATTCTTCATTATTTTAAGTCTTCTCTCTTCAAAAGAAAACTTAGGCATTTTACCTCGAGATTTTATTTCAGCCAAATATCATGAAATGAAGAGAATCAAATGTTTGTTTCTTATCTGAACTCAGATAAAAGTGGAAAACAGTTGCGATGATAGACAGCTCAGTTTCTATGGAAGACAAATGAACACACTGTACTGAATCAAGAGGCTTCTTTGCTCTGTTGCTCAAAAGGTCTTTGACTGCCCAGTTCTTATCTGTGTTGCAACTGATCTATTCCCCTTCTTTTACAGTCTTGCTCTTCCAGCACAACTATTCCTGAAGCAATTTTTTTCATTTTCTGTTCTTTTATCCTGTGAGATTTTTTTAATTAAATTAAATTATTTTATATCTCCAGGAGAAAATGCTTGGCAGAGAAGAAATTAGTATCACAAAGGTGACAAATAGTAAGGAGGATATGTGTGCTTTGTCTCTGTTTTGTTAATTAAATCCTCAAGATGAAATTTTTATTGGACATGGCAAATCATGTGGAAGATGAACAATAATTGTATTTCCAAAGCCTTGAAATTATGGAGAAGTTGGACATATCCTAGGACAAAGAAACTTGCAAACACAAGAAGGAAGGGGACACAGACCTCCAGTGTCTGAGATAAGCAGAAGAATCTGTGGTTAATCCAGCACTTAAATGAATTTAGACTTTGTACTGCTATGGTAAACTCAGCAGTTTAGCATTGTTCCAATAATAGGTTAACTATGTAATTGAGAGCGTATTCATGAGGAATTTTCTTGTGCATTGTTAAGAAACCAGATCTTGTTTGGAGATGGAATTGGCATAGCTGAAATACCAACATTCTCTGGATAAGTTAGTTTTTACACATACACAGTGTTTTGCCTGCCACAGTATAACACTGAGTGCAAATGCACCTGGAAAGTTGGTGTTCAAGATCACTTCCTCTCTCAGAAAACTGAGGTGAAATATGCCAAAGACACAGTGCGCAAGCCTGTGCTGTATTAGATTTGTTTGATTAGTGTCTGATTTTCTTCACTGATTGAAAACTAGGTTCTGTTGTTTTCCTTCTCTGAGTGTTACTGTTTATAGAATGTACTTGTTGAAAAGACTTACGGTGCTGGAAATAGGATTGGGACTTGATAATATTTTAAGCTATTTTTCTGAACTTGAGAAGGGGATAGTGACTATGCCATTTCTAAAAAAGATAAAAATAGAAGCTACTATTCTCCCTCGGTTTGAGCTAGAACTCTTAAAAGTTTTGATTTCATTTGAGGTTTTCCTAATGCATTAGCAATAATGATGAATCATAACAGTTGCCAATCTAAAGCTTTTATGTTCCTCTCTCTCCCACAAATCACTTCTCCACTGCATAGGAAATAAAAATTCAGCAACGGTAAGTAATATCAAAGGTTCTATTCAAAGTGGTGAGAAACGTGTCAATGATATCTAAGTGTTCGCGCTGCCTTATGGAAGTCTGCTGTATCTTTCATAATAAACAATTGTGGTGAAATTATGGTTACAGAGGTAACTGGTTTTTGTGTTTTCTGTGTGTTTTCCCCATGGCTAATAAACTGTATCGATGTGTAAATTGCTAGTTTCTGTCTATGTTGAGGAACCTTACTGTGTTAATGTTCTTATGTGACTTGATTTTTATCCTCCTTTTTTACTCTATTCCGCCTCCTTTATGGTATGTAAATACTGCATTATATAATTAGATGCACATAGTGATATTTTCTTCATGCCATTGTATCACATAAAACATTCCTGAGGCCTTTTTCTGGCAAATTCATATTCTAATGTTACAAGTGTAATTTTGAAGATTTATTGCACTGAAACATTTGAATCATGGATTTATGACACTACTAATTTAAAAAAAAAAAGTCCCACGTCTATTCAGAGCTCAGCAAAATTAGGTATATACTAGCTAAGAAATTATTAATTGCTATTATTTCTCATTGCTTAGAAATATGTTCTCATCCTGATGAATTCTGAAGTCTTTGAAATCATGCAAGTATAACTGCACACCAATGCATCCAACACTTCTACTTTTTTAGCACTCAGATTGAAGTCATATGAAGGTATTCCTCACCAGAATGGAACTGTGTCAAGCAGACACTATAGCAGATAGGTGCAGTCCACGCATGAGGAGCCTGCAGGCGAGTGATATTAATGGGAATCTTGAGCGTTCATAGAACACTCTGCAAAGCATTAGCATTCTAGGGCTGATCCAGACGAGCAGGTGACTCATGTGACTCCTGTGTCCTTGTCCATCGCTTGTGGACTGATTTAGTAATTTATTTAATTATTTAAAGTTAAACACGGGTTCAAATGCTTTGTTGGATTTGGGCTATCCAGCTAAGCTAAACAAGGAAACAGGATCAAAGTCTTTCTTCAAAATAAATAGTAGGACAAAAAAGGTGGTATTTGTTACACTGGTAGATATGCTTATGTCTTCTAATCAGCAGAGTTACTTTAGAGATCCTTGAAAGAGATCAGTAGAGAGCTCAAAAGTTTGAAAACAACATAGTTGTACTGCTAACTTGTAGTTGGTAGTCTATAATATTATATATTTTGTCTTGCTGAATGTTATGATGCTTTAACATAGTTTAAAAAACAACTTGGAAATACAGTTTTCTGTAAAGATTTATAATACAGCCAGAGCTGACTGGTAGCAATCTATATGTATTTTGCCCTTTGCACTTATCTTAATGCAGAGACATGGCAGGGAAGTCTTGGAGTTAATGCCTCTGCAAAGAACAGGTGGATGCTGTGCCTGTTGTATGAGCTGCAGAAAAGACACTAGCATCTGTAACAAATAGAGCAACACAGTATGTAGGGGTAATCTTGAATGCTGCAAAATAGAGGGAGACTCTCCATGCTCCCTGCACGCATTGACCAATTTAGCATGCTTTTCGTAATTGTTGTTTTTATAGTTAGTATATTTAAAGAAGAAGGAATTAGCTTTGTTGATATGAAAAACTATGATCCAAAGGCCAAACTTTCATCATATGGGCAAATCTTGAGATACATGGTCTTTGAATGGGGTTCTTAGATATCTCATAGGTCAAAATTTGTCCCATATCTAGGACTTGGAACATAAAACACTAACTCTTTTCAATCTAAGAAAAGTAATACTCTCTGTAACTCCTCTGTTCCCATGAGACGTATATTTTGTAAGTTCCCCTTTGTAGGTTTTGGGGCAGGAGATCCACACAGCTATAGTAATTCAATTTATGGAAGCATTCTTGATGGAGATATTTGTAATTATGGTGCTCAAGGCTGAAGAGTGTAATACTCGAAGAAAACTCTTCTTGGCCAAATAGTGAGAATGGTAAGATTTTCTATGATTGCTTTACTTAAGTGAACTTAAAGGTTAAGTTATGAACTCTTTGTTGGTAACATAGTGTTGTTGGATGATTATAGGATTTGGAACCAATGAATAATCTGCATCTCTCCTATGGCAAAGACTCCACCCGGCAAGAAAAGGGTTTGCCACCAAGTGTGCCAGCATGCTAATGTGTGTTGTTTGTTTTGGGAGTTGTTGGATGATACTGCTGTATTAATGTTTTGTGCTTGTATGTGCTGTAACTGTGTGTGTGTACACACAATATGTGACATGGACTTCTTTTGATGCAACTTACTGATTATAGAGTTTAATGGATAGATTCCCTAAACAAAGGCATCTAGTGTTTTAGTGAAAATAATAGACTTAAACACCTCTGATCTCTATTCTAATGTTGGTTTTTTAAAGTTTTTTAAAAAAACACTCGAATGTTGATTGCTTAAAAATAGTTTATGCATAGGGGCAAAGGATTTTTTTAATTAATACTCTAGTTTATCTAATTTCATATTTCAGGATGGAAGTATTTTGACCAGTCTTTCGCAGTGACACATCTACAGCTTGCGTTGTGTTAAATTTTACATGTAGTTGCATCAGAATAAGGCTTTGTCCTGTCTTTCACAACATTTTACTAAACGACTCATACTAATGTTGAATACGTCTTGTTTTGAGGACTATAGAAGCATCCTGGACACTGTGTTATTACCATTGAATTAGCATGTTAAAGTAATGAATTCTAGTAAATTATTAATGTTTTGATGATCTCTATATTCATTCTAGAATTCTTTACTATCCATAGATCTACTGTGTTTGAAACATTAATTGTTTTGAGACTTCCGAAAGTGATAGTGCTGAAATAGGGGGCAGGGAAACACAACTCCTTGATTTAAGTATGTCATAGTATACCTCTTTGGCACAGAAGCAACGATATGCTGGGATAAGTTGAACAGAGTAAGTGTTGTCAAAACAATGTTAAAAAAAACCAAAACTAGTGTAGGATCAGAAGAAAAAGTATTAAAGGAGAAAGTGAAAGACAATAGGAAGAAGGATCAAAGGGTCAACCTTCTGAAAAACTTTCCCTAAACATGT